ATATTAACCGAGACAGAGACAGAAAGATCATTAAAAAATTGAAGTTAAAAGTGTCTACTCAGCTTTTAAATGTCCTACTGCTTTATTTATAAAGAACAAAGAATTAAATAATAATTATATTTCGTCTTTTGAACAAATGGCGCAGGGCAATCAACTCTTATAAATGTAGGAAAAGTTTCTAAGTCCAAAAAACATTTTAGTTCTACTTGTGTAGCTTATGGCGCCGAATCTGGACTTAGTTTTGAAAAAAGAACGTGCATTGATCAATCTCCAATGCCGAGAGATTGTCCTCCCGTTTTCAGAAGTTTTCTACATAGCGTAGTTCGCTAGATCACGTCGTGCACATTTTGTAAAAAAGATTACGAAACAAAAAAGTAGAAAGACATTTAAATGCTGATAAGAGATTTTTAGCATAGGCTATCTATCATGGTCGTTGAATGTTCGACTATTTTTAGAGGTTGAAAGGAATAGTGAAATATAGAGACTGCGCTAGTGGAACTTCTTGATGCAAGAAGCTACAAGAAAGCAAGAAAAAAACAAGAATGTGGGACACTTCTTGCAGCAAGAAATGTTTCTTGCTTTCTTGGCTCAAGATCTTGGCCAAGAAATCGAAAAAAAGTTTCACTAGGGTGTAATCATTTTTTCATCAAAATAACTGACTTTTTAGATTAAAGATGATTTCAAAGTATAAATTCAGACTAGTTTAGCTACATGTTAATTGGGTATGTTACAAACCCAAACCCAACCAAAGAATTGGGTTTGGGTTTGGGGTACCCAAGTCTAGACTTGGATATTGGATTTGGGTCAGAGCTGGGTTTGGTATTGTGTTGGACTTGGGTTAATAAGAGCCTAGCAAGATGCTTTATATCATGGTAGTCCATGTGAAAACAGAATGTGCAGTGTTTTGTTTCGTCCTGTGGATATATGTGTGCAAGACGGTAACGATAAGAACTTTCTTTAACTTATGGTACGTGGTCTCTTGACATGAAGCAACGCAAGAACAGCCAATCAACTGAAAATGCACCTAAAAAAGAGACCGATTTTCACGGAACTTTTTCTAGTATATACTATAGCTGATATCAAGACATTTTAGAATATATATTCAGAGTTCCCTGACCACAAGCCGTTACTAAGATATCAGTGTTTTTCACAAAACTGTTTGTCATGGCAACAGCATTAAAATTCTTTGAGTTGTTGAAGTACTCAGTTAATATGCAGATTTTTGTCACAGTTTTGGATGTCCATATTATTGTTGAGTCAAAAGAAATGATGGAATGGTCTACAGGCTCTGAAAATGGCTCCTTAATCTCGTTTACTTATGTAAGATCGATTTTTTGAAAAACACTGATATCTCAGTAACGGCTTGTGGTCAGAGAACTCTGAATATATATTCTAAAAGGTCTTGATATCAGCTATAATATATACTAGAAAAAGTTCCGTAAAAATCGATCTAGAAAAGATCCGTAAAATCGATAAGTTCAAATGCATTTGTGAGTAACCAAATGGCTTTTGATTGTATGAGTCATCGTCGTGTGGCTACGTACCATTAGGTGAAATGTCTAAAAACGTTGAGTTCTTTTATGCTATTTATTTTGTGAATATCACCGTTATTTTTCAGTGTCTTAGATACATGTACAGAACAGATTTCAGCTGACAGTACTTTCCCAAATTAAAAAGCCTTTATAAAAAGAACAGATTTTAATAAAGTAAAATAATTTGTATAGGACCGCAACAAAATACGTATTAAGACTTTTAACGAAATTCAATAATTTTATTTGTCAATTTCGAGCGTTCGGTACTGACTCATTCCATTGTCAAGAAACAAATGACAACAAAACAATTTACATTCTCTGTATATCCATTCCAAAATGTGACTCTTTTGCTATTTGACATATCGGAAGAACAGAAAAAGATAGAAATTAGCCTGTTATCTCTTCCGATATGTCAAATAGCAAAAGAGTCACATTTTGGGATGGATATACAGAGAATGTAAATTGTTTTGTTGTCATTTGTTTCTTGACAATGGAATGAGTCAGTACCGAACGCTCGAAATTGACAAATAAAATTATTGAATTTGGTTAAATTTGGTTTGTTGCGGTCCTATACAAATTATTTTACTTTATTATTCCTATCGCTATACCTTCTAATTACAAGAACAGATTTTGTTCTCGCCCAGACCGAATTCTTTATGCGTGGTTATTCTATGTTGCACTTCATCGTGTGTGGTAAAAAGTTACTACTGATAAGTTGCACTTGAAGAAGAAGAAGAATAGGCTTTGATAACTGACCAAGGGCAAACCCAACACCCAAGGCTAGACTTGGGTACCCTAAGCCCAATACTCAAGTCTATACACCCACTTGGGTTTGGGTTTGGGTTTGTAACATACCTAATGTTGATGAAAGAATGAAACTTTCTCTCTCTTTCTTCTTCGAATTTCGTTTTCAGTTCATTTTTCTTAAATCTATATTTTAAAATAACTAAAATCACAACCAACATGATGTGGTGAACTCCCTGTTGACTGCGAACCGCTTCTGACAGATTCAGATCGGACACAGTCTATCGACATCGCAACCTGTGCGCAGCGCAATTGCTTTCTAGTTTTTCTCTTGTTAAGCCACTCTGTTTTTTGCAAAATGTGCGCCACATGATCTAGAGAATTACGCAAAACAGAAAACTTCTGAAAACGGGAGGATAAGCTTGCGACATTGGAGATTGATCAATTCATATTTTTCTCTCAAATAAAGGTCTATATTCGGCGCGGTAAACTTATACAAGTGGAAGAAAACTGTGTTGTGGACTTAGATAATTATTAATGTAGTTTTTGTCCGTTGCGATTTAGTCAGATTACGAAAAATAATTTCGTTTTCTGTTTTTTAAATTTTCTTCATTGTTCTTTCATCTTATTAATTACAGTTCAAAGACTAAATCAAAGCAAAAATACATTGTTCACAGCCTACTGATAGGATCTGCTTGGAGCAGTAAGTTCAGTTAGAGACGAAGTCTGTCGACATCGCAACTTGTGCACAATGCAGTTGTAATTATGCTTTTGTTCCATTTTTGTTCTGTAATGTTACTTAAAATCTTCATACTTATTTTACAGAATTTACTTAACTTTGTTTTGAAGATTTACGCGAAACACATAAAATCCAGTCGCACATCAGAATTTGATTTTCATAGGTTTCCTTTCTGTGATTGCTAAAAAGAAGCATAAATTTCAGAGCTACATGTTTAGTTATTCAACAGTCAAGACCTCAAAGCATTTTGTCAGAAGAGAAAAAGTGGAGTATAGTTGTTCTCTTGTTACTAGTACAAGTGTACTTCCTTCATGTTTCAATTCACATACTTGTTCTGACCGCCTTACAACGCCAACAAAAAGGCTTCAAATTAACGAATTGAACCCTTTTGAAGCACTTGCCAAAAATAGCGAGTCAAAATCTTGTTTCTCAACTGAGTTATGAATTTTTCAGAAAAATAATGAAAAGATAGCTGACCAGTAAAAGTTTAAATGCTCCACGGATAGCTGAAATAAAGAGCCGCCTAATGATAGATCAAAAATATTTTTCCTTCACTGATGATAGAACTGAATTGCCAACTTTTCTCCTTTTTTTGAATTTTTTTCCGCGTTACTTCTCTCTTTCCGCATCCTCTGTTCTTGATAGGTTATTCATGAGATAATTTTATCACTCGAACGAAAGATGATAATACTATAGCATCATCATTCAACAATAACCAATGGCTTAACTTGTTTCGTATTTTCGATTTTCTGATTCTTTTTTCTACTCTTTAATCAGAATATGAACTAAAAGAATGTGAGAAGTTTCTCTTATTCGTTGACAAATACCACCAACAAAAAAACAACCTTTTCGCTATTCTCAAATTTCAGAGTTTTTTCCGCTGCTTGAATACGCTGGTCATACCTTGTCTTAGAGAAACATCTCAAGTAAGAGTAAAATAATACAACGTCTTTATTTTCTAAACAAAATAACTAGAGATAAAGTCTCACGATAGAGATTCATTCTGCACTTTGCATAGACACCAATAATAAACTGCATGGCAGATTCTAAGTGTCTACTTCAGGACAGATACTTGGCCTTTTTTTAAGTAGCTAATAGTTTTCAAAGCTGTGTGAGATTTTCTTATTCTCAATTAAAGGTTAGTCAAGAATATTTTGTTTTTCAAAAAACGGATAAATTTGATATATGATAGAGTATCCGGCAATTGTAAGTTGACATGATTGAAAACAATGCTACAGTTAGGCTGTTAAGTACCATAAATTATGATGTTAATTGCAATGCAGAACGTACTACTAATATTTTTGTTATTTTTGCAAATACATCTTTGTTTTTCAGGGCGACGATTATGATAAGTTTTCTTGTATTTAATACGTCTGTCACCTAGTATTCTTACCGTTATCATGCTCAAATTACTTGTTTATTTTCAACTTACTTTAATCGTGTTTGGTAGAAAAGATTGGTCGGTAGAAAAAGAGTCATCCTTTTGGAATGAGAATGCCGCAAATGCTATTGATAAATCATTACAACGTAAAATAAATACTCGTCAAGCTAAAAATGTCATCATGTTTTTGGGAGATGGAATGGGTGTATCAACAATCACTGCGGGAAGAATTAGAAAAGGACAAATGTTAGGAGAATTAGGAGAAGATTTTTTGACAGAAATGGAACAAGTAAGCTTTTAATTTTTTTATGAAACTCCTCCTACAACTCCACAGAATGGAGAAATTGAAGTTATATACTAAAAAACCCCTGTTTGCCGATCCCTCTCCTTCCCCCTTCGGCCGTTTACAGCTTCTTAAAATGACGTTTACAGTGCCCTACGTTGATGTTTATAGCCTCTTAAACTTTTTCATTTTTTGTAATCATTCTTTTTGTGTTTTGTAAACACCACTTTAGGATTTTTAATCACCAGTTTTAGAGTTTACAACCACCTAAATACATAGAAACTAACGTAGGATTCGATCTAATAAATTGGAAATGTAATAAAACAAATCATAAGTAATACAAAAGCTAGCAACCAATATTTCATCGATATAAAAGATCTTATCTTTACTCATCAGCGCATAGTAGAACGGAAATTTCGTTCTATTACTTATCTATATTACAGGATTGAGGTACACTATTAAACAAGTTTTGAGGTGTTTCACTATTTTAGTCTTATAAGGCGCTGTTCTGACAAGGTTTTCTAACCAAATCATCATAATATATCGACTTTATTTTAGTTTTCACACTTGGGTTTAGCAAAAACGTAAGCATACTGATTGAATCTGTATATTGTTAAATAGATTATTGTTTTTATATTGAAATACAGGTATAATATTGATCATCAAACACCAGATTCAGCTGCAACAGCTACAGCCTATTTGTGTGGTGTAAAAGCGCAGTTGGGAACAATTGGTGTGGATGGAAGAGCAAGAAGAGCCAATTGTCCAAGCTCGATTGGTACTCAAGTCGATAGTGTTCTCGAATGGGCACTGAAGCAAGGTGAGAGTCATTCAAGAAAATCTTATATTCACTATAGTTTGTTTTTCTGTTTAGATAAAAAAGTTGGAATTATCACAACCGCTACCATTACCCATGCTTCGCCTGCCGCTGCTTACGCTCATACACCTGAACGTAATTGGGAATGTTATGACAATAAATATTTCAATAAAAGTCATTTCGATGCCGGATGTGTGGATATTGCTTATCAATTAGCTTCACGTTCAGAACCCATTCATCTTTTACTTGGCGGTGGACGAAAATATTTTTTTCCTAACGATACAACTGATGTTGAGTACAATACTTCAAATTCAAGAGTTGATGGTTTAAATCTAGTTGACATGTGGTATAATAAAACATTAGCGAAAGGAAGCAGACGGTCAACATTCGTATGGAATTCAACAGAATTAAATAAAATTGATAAAAAAGCGACCGATTACATATTTGGCCTATTTGAACCTGAGCATATGCTGTATGAAACCAGACGAAATGAAATGAATGCTGATAAACCAAGTTTAACGGAGATGACGAAATTTGCTATTGAATATTTACACGAAAGAAGCCAAGGAAATGGTTTTTTCTTGTTTGTAGAAGGTGTGTAGCGTTTGTTCATGTAGTAGTATTATTAATAATATTTTCTTTATTTGTGTTTAGGTGGTCGTATTGATCATGGTCATCATGAAACCTTACCTCGCCTAGCTCTTGATGAATATGTTGAATTCGACAACGCCATTGGTCAAGCAAAAAAAACTCTTACCAATTTGAACGTCTTTGACGATACATTACAAGTTATAACAGCTGATCATTCTCATGTGTTCACAATGGGAGCCTATTCTTCGCGTGGTTCAAATATTTTGGGTTTTGGATCATTAGAAAATGCAAATGTCTCGAATGTTGACTCTCTTCCAATAAATATCATAGCATATGGAAATGGTCCAAATTTCAATAGTTTTCGTAATACCTCCTTGAATTCATTAAATACGAACGCCACATCATATAGAGCACCAGCTGCTTTACCGTTAAGAATGGAAACACATGGTGGTGAAGATGTAGCTGTATTTGCTCATGGACCATGGAGTCATTTACTCATAGGAACAATTGAACAAAACGTGATTCCGCATGTCATGGCCTATTCTGCATGTTGGGGAAAATATGCGAACCGAGAAGGATGTGAGGCGGCTAAATCAATTTCGACGATCCATCGTCATATTAACATCGTTTATTCTCTAGTTCTCTTATTAGGTGTTCATTCGGCTGTTAAAATTATACAGTAGTGTTTTATGTGTATATTCTAATATAAATGAGATCTTTTTATAAAAAGAAAACTAGTTATTGGCTGTAAAGAAGCGTTTACGACTTCGAAGTTAATTTTTCGCGACGTTGATGTGCTCGTGACAGGAATTTTATAAACTTAGGCATATGGCATGCTTTAGGTACCTGTTTCGGTATTTTTTTGTAACTTATACGAGAAATATAAGACGAGATGTCGCATTCATCTTGCACATTTTTCTACCGTTAATAATATTTATTCTGCTAATTCTCCTGTGAACGCTATAAATTACAACGACATGAAATATAAAAGAACGGTAATCCATTATGTCCTGAAAAACGAGCATCTAAAAATTCAGCTAAAAAAGCTCGGACAAAGAGGAAATCGAGAAAACAGACAAAATTGTGTAAAACGATGAAACGGACGAAGACGAAAGGGAAACCAAAACGTAGACATGCCAGGAAGAGAAAAAATCTAATTTAGTTCTTGTGAGTCAGATGATAAACTCCCAACTAGCATCCCCTCATTCCAATTCAAAGTATCGAATCATTAAAGGTTGTGCTATAACGAAAGGTAAAATCCACAATATTGAGGGAATTCTAACGATTGACACCGAAGGAGGAATCACTATCATCAATTGTAATTATTGGAAACTAATCGATGGAAATTAAATATTTGTATACCGCTGCAAGGCGTTACCAAATTCCTATCGCATTATAACGCATTAATCTGTAACGCGTTACAACGTGTTATGCACGTTCTAGATCATTCTAAGGCTATAGAAGTTCGTCACACGTTTCAACGACATAAATTGATCGCATTGCAATGCGTTACAAGCTATTATAGTATTGTAATGCTGTACATTTATGTCATTGAAACGTGTTAGAAGCGTCTATAGTCGTACGATGAGTTAAAACGTGCGTAACACGTTGCAGCGCGTTACAAGTTAATGTATTATACTGCTATAACATCTAACACATTATAACGGTACACATTTTATGACATTACAGTTAGTCTCTAAAACTATGGATGCCCAGAACACTCAATTTTTTACATGGGTTATCGTCAGTTTATTTCGTACATTGGAAAAAGTATTCATTTTTAGTAACTGAAAGCGCTTGAGAAAAAAATTTCATATTATCCCTGTGAGAAGATTTTTACCGGTCCTATGCCAGATTAGATATCACTATCAAATTCTTCT